GGGGATCTTTGGTCAAGCTAGTCAAACTATACTAAAGTTTGTTGGCTTGAAACCATTGTAACTTGCAACGAGTCTCATGTTTTTGATCAGGTATGGGCAATTTGTTGTTTAATAAGTAAGCTTAAATTCCAGAAGACCGATTTAGATGGAACAACTTTTGCCTACAGTCATCGCATGCAACCTACGTAAGTGATCCTTAAAACATGGCTACAACTGTCGTAGGGGTTTTAAACAATTGCTTAATAGCCTCACGACAGTTGTAGCCGTATTTTAAGGATGACTTAAGCATGTTGCATGCGATTGTAGTTCTAGGCAAAATTTGTGTGCCGTCTGAAAGGTCTGAATGAATCTCGTGTTATTTGTTGTTCAGTTATTACGTCAATAAGTCAATCAATTTGCCTTAACATAGTTCTGCACATTTATAAAAATGTTTCTGTTTTTAAAGATAGTTTGATTAGGACAGTATTGGTTTTCTTCCTAGCACGTGCACGCAAGCAGCATTTTGACCGCCGTTTTTTTGGTAGGCAAAGTTTTCCCCGCGCGTTACATAATGCAGTAGTCAAAGTAAACCCCCACACCCCACCCAACTCGGGACATGGTGTGGATATGTGGGGCATTTGAAAAATGGACTTGGCAAATGTTGGTAAATACCCCACATCGTGGGGGAGAATGGGAAATCAAATCTCCGACCCCCTGGGGTGAAACAAAATGCCATTTTGAATAAAATCCTTTGTTTTCTACAGCAATTTCTACATGAGCAGCCATGCAGTTCAACTTATCTGTGGGGGGGTTCCATGACATTCATAGGGCCACAGGAAGCTCAAGTTGCATTTTAAAAGTTTCCAGGCCTTTTCTAATTATTTGACCAATCCCGACCTTATGCCCCACTATGCCCCGACTATATTAAAATTTATCCCCACCCCCTTGGGCATTATTGCTGGTCAAATGTGATCCCAAGCCCCACATAGTCCCCACCCTGTCCAGGGGTGGGGGAGGTGGGGGTTCGCTTTGACTAGTGCATAATTAAAACATAAATATACACCTACTTGCGAAAACATTGTCATAAAAAATAGGACATTTGWATTTAGTAGAAGGGAATAAATTTAAAAAGAGAAWAGAAGATCACTGAGGCTGAACGTTTTCTTTTGTCTTGTTTTAATTTATTCCTTTTGACTAAATAGATGACTTCACGCTTGACGGTGAATCATATACAATGAATCATGGCTAATCAGGACAAGATTACTAGAGGCGATGGGGAAAGAGATACGTTTTTCGCTATTCGTTTCTGAGTTAAACATCCCAAACTAGACTCTTTCTGTAGATGGATAATTGACTGTTCAATGTTTTGTGGCTATTTTTGAGCCAATCGGGTCATTCTTGCTGCAGCACGATTTTTTTCAATGGTCAAATTGAGCTCTTGTCATCGAGTCTTATCGCAAATCTACTGCTTCCGTCCTTCTGATAATCAGTGCTTATATGTGGCTTAATTGGCTCAAGAACATCACAATACATGGAATAGAGGTATCTCTATCAACTACAAAAGTTTGGTCCCACAAATTTTCCTCAAAACGGAAATATAGCGAAAAAAGGATGGACTGGGGCTTAAAAAGCAATATTTTCTCACTTCCTGGTTTCTGATTCCCTGGTTAATAGGCATTTTGCATTAACGTTCACATGATACTAAATCCGCTACTCTGGAGGGAAAAAGGATGTAAACAACTCAAAGAGAAAAGGAGCGCAGCCCTTTAAGTTTGAATCTTCTTACTGAAAATCCATTGGGAATTTGCTCAGTATGGCCGATTTAGAACCATGTGATTGTTAAATGCAATTAATTGGTGATAATACCTGTAAGGTTCTTTCTTTTCACAGCCACCTATAAACAAGGAAATATTTTTAAAATCCTTTTTAACTCAGTTTACAGCTCACTTATTGTGGCTTTCATTTTGGTTGTAATACTGTTTTTTTATTCCCAAAAGCTAGAACTATCAAAGAAAACTAGCTAATTTTGATGAACAGGAGTTACTGTACATCAAACGTACTTTTTTATAATTCCAAAACAATAAATAATTATAGTAATTCATTCATTTCCTAAAAGAACAAAAACATACATTTTTGTATTTTGAAGGATTTTCTCTTTCTTTATGCATAACTATTGAGAAAGAAATAATTTCAATATGCGTCACAATGTACATGACCAACAGTGTGCTTACCAATACAGCCGGCTTTCTTAGCTTGTTTTGCACAATTATCTAGGATCATGTTAACAATATCAAATATATATAATACTGTATACATTTAAGGTGGATTTGGAATCAATGCACATTGAAGATAGATGTTACCCTACCTAACAATATCAAATTTATATATTACTGCATACAGTTAATTCATTCTATAAAAATGACAATCAGCTCTTACCAACATTGGGGATGGGTCTATTTCTGTGTTCATCTGAAATGCCAACAAAATAAATAWGTTTATTATTTTATCAAAATAACAATGATATACCTTTGATATACCTTGAGTTCATAATTATTCAGTAGTCATAACAAATTGTTTCTGCTGTTAAAATTGACAATATTACTTACCAACATGGCAGGATTTCTTAGGTGGTGTGGCATAATCTAGAATGTCAAGAACATATAATCCCTTAGCTTAAAAAATTGATGATAAGCCCTTACCAACGTTGGCGACAGGACTATTTCTGTGTTCGTCTAAAATGTCAACAAAATAATTTCATTTTTAAAGCTCAAATACTTAAAATTGTACATGTACTTAGCAACATTGGCTCTCCTATTATGCAGTCATGATAGGAAGGGCAATGTTCTAAGAGATATAAATTTTTATGATTTCTTAACAACATGCTCTGTGTCGCTGTAACTATCATCTCAAATTTTAAGAAAACATTCAATGCCCTCATCAGCCGAGAAGTGAGTGAAATATACCTCTGCCGTCTTCCGATTATTATTCTGTTGAGTATGCGCTTGTGTGACAAACCAATCTGATACCCAGCACCACTCTCCCTCATACTCGCAGGCTCGCTTGTTCAACTAAAAACATGAATCATGAATTTCACCCATGCGCAGTAGAAATCTGATATAATGACTTTATTTGATGTAACGGTATAACAGCTATTTTACTGATTTTACTGAAGAATTTGGCTAAATGAAATTTTTTAGACCTTAGATGATAGATCTATCTTCTTCGAAACTATTTTGATATCTATCATGATCAGATCGTTGCAAACTGTGATGGTTAGCGATTATCATGCCGTGACAGTTCGTCGCCTGGCTGTTGTGTTTGTATTCCATTTTATACACCGTATTAAGTTWACCCATGTATAAGACGCTCTTGTAGATAGGCCGCACCCCGAGTTTTAGGAACGTTTTTGATGGAAAAAAGATCCCCACTTGCGAACGCAGCTTTCTTTTATTTTAAAGTGCTTTTCCGCTGCTCGATTTCCGTGATCCATGTATTTCGTATGCAATTACAATCAGTTTATTTAACATGAGATGAATGATAATCTTCAAGACATATAAACTTGCGGTGTATGATCTTGGAGAAGTAATTGTTAAGATTGATAATTGATACTGTATTTAAAGAGTTGTTTTTCATTCAAAAGGTAAAAGCAAACTAGTAATTAACTTGAGTAACATAAATTTCATCGTGCCGCCAAACTTCTAAACATAAAGGTCGTGCCAAAACCGCTTCGTATTTCAAAAAAAATATTTAAGCAGATTGTATTTGTTTAATATAAGGAGCAATGTCGCTTAAAGGAACAATGCAAATTAGCATCAGGTTACCAAAATAACTCCAAGACAAAACGATTTAAAATGCTGTGTGTTTATTGGCTCAATAACTACGCACTTTTCAGTTTGATTTATTGACTTGTGCTTCTCAGAGCTAGATTTTTGGAAAATTTATAGTGTAATACTGAGAAGTTTGGATTAMAATTTCTGTTCCATATCTACAGTCTTCTMGTAGATAAGCCGCACCCCTGATTCGGGAACGATTTTTTTGGGAAAAATGCGGATTATACATACGGTAATTGATCATATTACTCTCAAATGCCCACTTCATAGACTTAAAAAAGAAGAATTCAAGGTGAGGTAAGGAGAAGCAAATTGAAAACGAATTCAAATTGAATTAGCCGGAGAGCTCACAATAAAATCTAGCAGTAATTCGCAAGGTGATAATAACATAGACACAAAAACCTGTTGAAAACAGCTCTTACCAACATAGTCTTCGTCACTGTTTCCTGTTGACCAATAACAAAAAAATTATGGTGATACAACTGAAACATTGTTTAAATAGTATTTAAAAAATATAGAACTGACTTTCTGCGTGATTTTGTAGAAAAAGAAAAGCAGAGGCAACAAATTTGCTAAACTTTCATGCCTTTCTGATATTATTATAACCACTAAGATTTACCACAACTTGGTAGAATTGTGTTAAGTTTTTGACAGAATTAATAATTGTTTCTATAATTAATTTTCTGTTCAATTTGGTGTTTAACACTCTGGCAAAACATTTCCTGTAAATAAATATTTAATATGTTTATGGTAATGTTTCATTCTGAAATCTTTTAATAGTACAATAGGAACTCTGCAGCATTTTTTTCAGAATCAGAAAACCCTAATTTTATGATWTTATAAATGTATTTTTATGTTTGATTACACAATGCCGACAAAATAAATATTAAGTTTATTACTTACCAACATGGCAGGATTTCTTAGGTGGTGTGGCATAATCTAGAATGTCAAGAACATATAATCCCTTAGCTTCATATACAGTTAGTTCATTTAAAAAATTGATGATAAGCTCTTACCAACGTTGGTGACAGGACTATTTCTGTGTTCATCTGAAATGTCAACAAAATATTTTCATTTTTGATAGGAGGGGCAATGTTC